GCTTATCATCAGGTGACAGAAGAATGCCCTTATTGTTAGCTCCAATACTTACAAATAAACCTTCCCAGGGTGTCACATACCTGTATAAATACACCATCGCTGTGGCACTGAGCTAATATGTTAATAGAGCAGGAACTGGGGAAGGGCTGTACCTGAACCACTTCCTCCAGGACTCAAGCACCTCAAGATTTGGCATGGATTAGCTGTATGAACTGGGGCCCACAATGCAAAGTATCCCAATTAACAAAATGTTTGCTAATATGCTCAGAGAAGGATCCATAACCCTCCTTGTGTCCCAGTCTTCCCTTGGGCTGCAGATCCCAGTTCTACTCCTGGGAACTCCTAAGAGGTAGCTCCTAAGAGTCCTCAGCCCCACAGCAAGGCTTGGTTGTGCTAAGTGCTGTGCAAACACTGCGGCACAAAATGGATTAGACTCTGAAAAGATGAGCTCGCTTGCTTCCCAGCCTGACAGACAATAATTTCAAGGAACAACTCCAGCTTTATTGCAGCACAAGATAACAGAATTAGATCCCCCGAGCTTAAATTTGCATGTGAAAAATACAAGTATTTGTTAGATCATCACTTCTCATCACAGGGCACAGGGGGGAGAATTTTCATCGAGCCATCTCCTGCACGTCAGGAAATAACCTGAAATTTTACTCCTTACTGTACTTTAGCAAGCCAGGAGCACCACGGATCAATACATTCTGCAGTGAAATAAGATATCATCTGCATTGTAATCCATAGAAAGTTAACACAAAGCAAATAAGAAACTGAGGAGTGGCACAGAGGATCTTTACACCTGGTAGGAGGTGCAAGAAGCTGACAGCATGGGCAGCCCATGCAGGAAGGAGTGGTGTGCTCTGCAAGGAGGGAGGAGGCTGGGATGGAGAAAGGTGCCCTGCTTGAGATGAAGCAAAGGTGGATGAGCTGCCTCTGACTGGGCTTTTGTACAAGAGATAGCAGCTTTCCCAGAATTTGTATAATTTTGCTGGTTCCTGCATCATTACTAGTGTTAGTTATTTTTCATAACTACATTAGACAGAGAAAACACACAGCATTCAGGGTTCAGACATGAGCTCTGAGGCAGTGTATTGTGGTAGCTGTGTGATTTGAATCACTGTCTAATACAGGTATGTCCCTGATGCATTTTAAATTGAACTGTGTGCAAATCATTTACCAGGGCAGTTGACCCATTCACAGCCAAAGTTGTAAGGGAGTTAATATGTAATAATTTGTAAGTCAGGGTGCTTTTTTTGAGGCATTAATTGTTTCGCTGAGCACTGAAAATGTGACCTCTGATTCCTTCAGAAAACTCACCGCTCTCTGTAGCTCATTTTTCACAGCAAGCACAAGCCTGGCATACAATTATTAGCAAAACCCAGCAATCTGCCCAAAACCTAACATATACTGAACTATGCTTCAAATGCCTTTTCATGGTGTGCCCTTTTCAGTTAATAGCATTAATAGCAATGCTAATCTGCACTGATCTTGCAAACATTTATGTGCTGATAACTGCATCAAGCAAATCCTTTTTATTGAAATACACATATACTCACAGACTGGAAGCTTTGGGTTAATTCAAAGACTGATCCCAACATTCATACAATATAAAAATATTAATATAGTTACTTTTAAAGCTGCTACTGATGGATTCTCACTGTAGAAAAGGTAATTCATACCAGCTAATCAGCTATAGATAATACATTTGAAAATAAAGATGCTAAATATCACTTTTTGTTTTGCAACTTCTCCATTCCTCTTGAAAAAATATCCCTGCTGAATTTTCTAGTCAATGTAGAGCAGAGCGATGCATAGAAATGTCACAGGAGTTCTGCCTTAGCTCTTGACATTATTTCTGCATCTTCACCACAGATGCTAGTGAATATATCTTCCTCAACCCCATTCTTCCCTCTTCAGAAAAGTAATGTCCAGTTGATGGAAGAAATACATATGGACTGATCAAGGTATTCCGGGACTCTCCCAAGTATGCAAGTCTAATCGGAGTTCTAAATGACTGCATGGTTTTATCATGAACCTGGCTTTTGATGGCAATCACCTTATTTCCCCCTATCTAAAATGAGGCTGGCAGGCATTTGGTTATCTCACAGGATGAGCTGAAGCACAGGCACGTTTCTTGCCAGGCTCCTTTAGAATATAATCGTTACTTTGCATCCTATTTCCTTTTTAAAAAGAGTAAAGTCAGGAAATGTTGCACGGCCATTCACACCAGATAAGCTATTGAATAGATGCATCTACTGTAGTCATTAACCATGAAAATGCTTTCTTGTGTCTTGATGAATCCTTAATTTTAAAGTGAAAACCACTTGCAGAAGTTTTCACCTTTGGCAATGTTATTGTGCACTGCTGTTTGTAGACTGACAGAACAAACCACCTCGATTACCCTGGAGATCTAGAGTGAGAAAAGCTCTTTCTCACTCTTCATAGAAAACACTGGTCTACTGTATAAAACAAAACTTAAAAGAAATCCAAGCACAGAAATTGAATCCTTAGGAGGTTTTATGCCTGTGCTTTCTCTCTTGGGCTTTCTGTTTTGTTTTCTTCACAGACTTTTATTTGGGGCCTCTATTTCTACCACACTGAGCTGCATTTTGAGCACATTCTTCAGAGCTGCTAGAAATGGCTGTGGAGGGCAGCAGCCCGGTTCCTACTCAGGGGAACCTTTAGAGTATGCAGGGGGCTGGAAGAGCCCTCGGGAGGTGCCTCGCCTCCGCTTCACCTTGCACAAATGTGCTGCAATGCTGATGTAGGCACCGGGGTGTGTAAAGACACCTTGGTCCCTGTGCTCTGCCTAGGCTGCCTGCCACTAGCACAGATCAGGGTCCTGCAGCCCCTGGCTTTTACCTGTGCAAACCTGCCCCACTCACAGGAGATTTCCTTCTGCAGGGTTTGCTACTGTTGCATCTCTCTTACACATCCTCGTCTGTGCTAATACCTAGCCCAGGTCTGCAGATTATGTGTTAGAGAGCATATTAACAGGAGCCAATAGAAGGGAGAGGCAACTAAACACAGAGTTTACCTCACAATTCGTATTGGAAGCAAGTGCAAATTACTATTTGTATCTTTTTACAAAGCATTTACCACTCTAGGGTGATCAGAAAGTCCCGACCAGGTAACACACACCAGACAAGCTGTCACCAACAGAGCTGCCGGTTTTCTTAACGAGAATGAAAAACTCAAAAGCTTTGTGCCAACAAAACCACTTCTTTGCTATAAGCTGCTTTGCATCCAAGTGCTAGGAGAAAAATGCAGAACACAAAGGTGTACAACCACAGCACATCGTCAGTGCTGGCAGGCAGCACATTAGGTCCGGGATCCGTGATCGTTATCACATTCAGGCACATCCTCCTCAGAAAAATTTGATCCAGGTCAGGCCTTGGCACACAACTGCATTTCTATGGCGACTGCAAATACACTTTATAGGAATTTCTACCGCCTTTGTATTTTCACTCTGAGGACAGGCAGCTTCTAATCCAATGCAAGCCTGCAGGCACCTTTTTAACCCATCACTGTTTTTCTTAAACAAACGCAAGCAAATAGAGTGAGCTGATACCAGACCGTGCTTTGCAATACCTGGCCATGGCAGTCCCAGCATGTGGCAGGAGCTGTAAAGCTGGATTTACTGTCTCCTTGGACTGCTGCCATAAACATAACCTCACGCTCTGCCATGACTTCCTGGGCTTCCCCACCGCCTCGGCTTCAGATTTTAAACAGGAGACATTCATGGCTTGAATACGGCTGACAAAGGACAAAGATTTCACACCTTTTTGCTGGATACTTTTCTGATAGCCTTGACCTCACCTGGCCAACCTCATTCACGAGTTAAAATCTGCTGTTTTGATGGGACACCTTCCAGGAGCTTGCCACAGCGATCCATGCTTGTGCCCTGAAACACCCCTGCCAGATTCTTGAATCGTGGGCCTGACCTAACTGCATAGTTTTCACCTTCTCATTGATTAGCTATCATGAGAAGGGAATAGCACAATTGATGAACCTCTCTGTTCTCAGCATATGCAGTCCCCATAGAAAACCTATTATTTCCAGGCTTATTATTTTATTTTCTGCTTTTATTGTCTCTCTGAAGCAATGCTACTTCCTAATTAAGTGCATCAAAACCACAGTACAGCAATCCAAAGTATTTTTCTATTTTATTTCCTCATAAAGGATTATGGTTGCAAAAATGACTGTCACTAAGCAGTTATAGCACTATTAGTAATACACACTTATTCGATAATAATACTCTAACGCTGTTGTTCAAGACCCTGGAAAACCACAAAAATTCATCCGTTGGTGTTCCAGAGCACTCCCAGAAATTGCCATTCATATTCTTCATGCTGTTCCTCAATTTGTGGCATCACATTTAGTTTTTGATTGACAAACCCAGTACTGACATACTTCACTACAATTTGCAGTCCATATGCAATTTGGTGATTTGAAAAGCAACTCTCTCCATAATCACAGAATGGTATACTTTTCATCAGTATATCTATCCGAACACGTATTTGGACATACTTTAGTTCAGGCTTGTATGCAACAGTTTATAGACCACAATATTTTTAATTGAGAAAAAAAAAGTCCTTGATGCTTCTAATTACTTGGCACATACCCCGCTTTAATGCAACAGCCAAAGACAGATAGGATGGAGGCATCCTGTTTTCACATTACTGCTGCAAATACATTCTGGTGAATGAGGAAGATTTTGGTTGCATACGAGTTTTGCAGGCACTCACCAAAACCTTCAATTATATTGTGTGTCCCGTCTACAAAACACCATTTAGAAAAATTAGGGGAAACTTCTCACAGTCTGGAGGTGGGGGACAAGGCTGAGAGGGGCCATTGCTCATTCCAGCTGTGGGTGTGGGGGAGCAGAGCCCGCCATTCCCTTCTTTATCTGAAGGCTGCAGCCTGGAGGGCATGGAGACACCACCCCAGCTCGGAGCATCCCTGGCAGCCGAGCACCCAACAAGCTTCCCCAGTACCTTGCAATTTCTGGCTGTACTCTGTCCTGTCGGACTGACTCCTCCTCAAGCTGCCGGGGTCCCCGGTGGTGGTGGTGCTCTCTACCACGGGCTCCGTCTTCCTCCTCTGCCCCATGTATAGCTTGTTCCTTAGCAGGGTCAAATTCCTCTTCCTTCCCCCGGTGCCGTCCTTCCCCGGACAGTCCATACTCGCCAGGGACAGCTTTGCGTGGTGGTGGTGGTGGTGGTGGTGGTGGAGAGGGGACAATAGCTCGATTTTCAGGGTGGTGACCTCTCTGCCCAGGTGAAGGCTGGTTGCTTTGGCCTTGGTTTTGCAGCAGGGCTCTCCAGGCTCCGCAGGGCCCCGGGCTCAGCCCTGCCACCTGTGCCGGAGCAGCTCCACCCCCGGGAAGCTGCCGCCCCGGGCAGCGTTTGCATTCACCTGCCCTGTGTGCAGGCGCGCCCGGCGGGGCCGCTTTCAGAGCCAGCCCCGAACCGCAGCCGCTCCCGGGCCCTCTGCTGCTGCAGGGCCGTGGGTGCCGGCACAGAGGAGCGGGAATTGCCTCCTCCCGGCTCTGGCAGGGAGATAGATACCCGAGCGTGGCACGGCAGCCCCCTTCCCTCTCTGCACTGCCGGGCAGGTGGAAGCAGAGAGCAAGGCCAGTGGGAAGGGGAAGCCAGCCACCCACTCGACCCTCACTCGGGCAGCCTGGTCAGGACTCCAGCTCCTTGCATATCAAGTTGCATCTGCCAGTCTCCTGACCCCACTGAGAGGTGTAGCTTTTGGGCTGGAAACTCCGGATCTACAGGTTTGAAAGGTGACCCGTCTCTCGAGACAATGAAGAAAAGGGCTGAGAAGGACATGAAAGCCCCCCCAGAAGGTAGGAAGCAGCATGGAGCTGGTGCTTGTCTTAAACCAGGCTCTATCCCGCTCCACACGGAGGGGCCAAAACCGAGGCGAAAGCCTGCCAAGGGCCCGTGAAGGGTACCACAGCCAACCACCATGCTGTGATAGCTAGGAGAGTGGACACCAAAACACCTCTGGATTAGCTGCTGGAAGAGATCTTATTATCCTGTCTGTTAGCAATGGCCTCTGGCACACATGCTGTCTAGTGATCCTCTGTAGCGCCAGTCTAATCGAGCTCATGTCAAAACAGCAGGAGTTGCTGGCATCTAAGCTTGGACCGGATTTATCCTGGGAAGAGCCCCAACAGCCATCAGTAGCAATCACTGCTGCTGCTGTGATACCCAACCCAGTGGCCCTCGATGCTGTAGGAAATGCCTGGTGGGAGCCCCGTGGTTCAGCCTAATCGGTGTCAGTCTCACGCACAATTATTGCCACAGCATCTGCCAGGGGACACAACTAATGTCCCTCTGACAGAGGCTGGCAGAGCGTTTGGCTTTAGCACTGCACGCTATGTCCCTGGACTGTCTAGTAAAAACCAAGCTGGGATGAGACGCAGTAGTGTAACCTCCTTTCCAAGTTTTGTTTTTCTTTACAAAACTGGTCCTGTAATGCAATCTCCTCATCAAAGCCCTTAATTTCTACCCAACAGTGAAAATAAGAAGTTATGAAACTGTTAAGCAATAAACTACGTCAAATTGCAGCATCATGCCAGTGCTGCACAAAGTGTCCAGCCCAAACACAGCCTGGCAGAGGAATGAAGTTGTGAGGGGAATACTGGGAAGACTTTGTGCTCACACAGAGAAGTCACATATTACATAGGCAATTCATGTGCTACGTCCTCCTCTTTGATATTTCCTAAGAAACTCTTTATTCTGCAAGTCAGACCACAAAAGTTCCTTGAAAGGCAAAGCAGTGGTGACAGCAGGGAGAGGCGTAAGCAGGGACAGACTGGTGACATACTTGTGACAAGCATCAAAGCTCTAGCAACAAGTAGTACACAGACTAAAGTGGGAGCTAGGGAAATCAATCAGAAAATTTCCTTACACTGGGGACTTTGGGAGGAGTTTTTATTTGAAGCAATAGCTTGGTATTAATCGAGGGTGGTAAAACTGGTTTAAACAGTCACCACCCTGACTGCCCCCCTTCCACCGATGAATCTGTTCCCATTATTGCTGCAGGGTGTAAACATATGAATTTGAGATGAGATGGAGGAACTGATCTGGCAGAAAACTCCTTCCCTCGCCCCTTTTCCCTGGGCTATTTTCCATCTGGATTTGTGCTTCTGATTAGTTCCTCAACCAGCTAAGGAAGCAGTTGTGACAGCATGAAGCAGGGGATGACGCAGGGCACATATGAGCAGCTGTGGGTAGGGCTGATGGTTGCTTAGGCCAGAATTACCCAGAGAAGATATCTCTCCCCACCAGGATTTCAGTGTCATGCTTCCCAGAAAACAGAGGTCCCATCATTTTAGATGAGATTTCATTATATTTATTTAAATTAAAATGGTTTGGAGGAGAACTGGGGAATGTATCTTGGCTGGTGAAGGTGGAAGAACAAACTTAATAGAATTCTTGGCATTGTAAGTTCTGGCATATGTGCAGAGTTACAGCCAAGACAGGATATAGTAAAGTTTGCTCAGGTGTTTATTACGACAGCAATCTCCTCACAGGCAAAAGTTGTCTTCCTCTTCAACTCAGTCACGGGGAGTAAAAAAGTACATGTTCATTCAGCAACAGAATTGTTATGGAGAAAGCCAGCTGTAGTTGCTGCTGCTGTTGCACTTGGAATGGTTTACATAGCTTTAGCTTGCAACATTATTTTGGAGAAAGCCACGACCCCAAAGCAGGTCTACACCACAGTTTAGAATGTAGATGGGAACTTACAAAATACCTCCTCTGTGCCACCCAACATAGGAAAGGCTGAAAATACCATACCTTCTGTGATACTCCAAATGAGTGGGACATGTTCAGAACTGGTAGCTTCCCTATCCCCTTTGGAGGGAGGGAAATTTGAGAGATAACCGGTTTTATCCATCATCACATTAAATGCCATTGTGGATTTACACCACTGGGCTATGCCTGGCAATCAGCAGAGGGACTACATTAAAAAAAATGTAATTGTTTTGTAACAGATTTGAGCAAGCCCCCTATAAAATCTTATTACTGTTTGCTGATCTTTACTGACTATAACAAAATGCCACAGGAAGCACAGGTCAGAACAGTGTGTTCTGACCACAGTAAGCATGGGTCAGAAGCATTCACTGCCACTCACAATAGTATGAGCAACGCACTCTCAATTTCAAATTATTCCTGCTCTCTTCTGGCCCCATTAGCAACTGATGGGAAAACAGTACCAAAGTCACTAATCCATAAGACAAGAGGAATATATGGTATCTACATAGACAAGATGCTTTTTTTACAATGAATGTGGAAATCTCTTTTACTACTCTGTTATGCTCAGTTCTACGGAGCAAACTGGAATCCAGTTGATGCGAACACTCACGGGAGTTATTTGCATGGATGCCACCCTGCTTAAGAAACAGAACAGGTGCTGGTGTCAACACAGAAAATATTGGCATTGTGTTCCCCAGCAACTGTATTGGCCACATACAAGAGCTGATTGTTGTAGGGTCAATGCCAACCTTTATCTCAGTCCTGAGCGATAAATGAACCAGAAGCGCCATAAAGACTGATGGCCATTAAGTAAGCAGTTATTTGTTTTCTTGTCATACCTCACAGCTGTTACAGAAGATTTCTTTATAACTTAGGATCCATGCCTGTTCCCTTTGAGTGGATGCACAGAGCACTGCTGGAGATCTGTGGCAATGGCATGGGATTGGCATTTCCAAGTTTGCTCACTGCAATGGCCAGCACAGACACCAAGGAAAAGAAAGTCTCAGTCTGCAGCTGCAGAGTGACTGCTGGTTTCACCTATGTAAAGAGATCACACTTGACAGGCAGTGGAGAAGCAGAAAGGTACCATGGTACTGCTGCAGAAAGCTGTCCTACCTTCCCCACAGGTAGAGCATGACAGCAAAGGGTGCAGATGTCTCTGTAGCTCCCCATCTTCATACAGAGAAGCCTCAGTGCAAATAAAAGCAAGCCTGTACCTTGTCACTCAGCCTGTATGCACGTGTCATAGCAAAGATGTCCTCTGAGGGACAAAACGTGGAGGCTTTGATAAGAACAATCCTGTGTAAGGCCCATCAAGGACTTTGAGAAAGTGGCTGGTACATACACTCTACCTGTTTGCAACAGTACTGGTAAGATAAGAACAGCATGACAGGTGAGGAAAAAAGCAATAAAAAGATAAGGCTTAGGGACAGGTAAAACCGGAGTCTACATGCTGATTTTTCACAATGAATGAATCACAATTACTTTGAAATATACGTAGGAAAAAACTTCAAACACCTTTCAATAGTACAAAAAGAGAAAAAAGTCTGTCTTGTAGGTGAAAAGTTATTTAGTGTGGCAGTCTCACTTTCACTCCTACTGTTGATCTTGCCAGACTGGTGATTCCTGTAGAGAAACAAGTCTTTAGAAGTAAGTGCACAGTGATAATTTCTTTTAGCCCTGTCTACAGTGTTTCTTGTCTAAATATTTGTAGGAAAAAATCATAAAGCACATGCCTGCTGGGGCTCAGGTGAGGCGGTGAGGCTGTGGATATTTCTAAGAAGGGATGGCTCAACCTTTCAAGGTATGCAATCTATCTCCTTGGACTGCTGTGATGCTTTCTTACTCCAAACAAAGCCTCTGCTCCAGTTTACACACACAAAAGGCTGACATGTTTTCTGTCTACAGAGGGGGACCCATCTCTCAAATCGAAACACCTGCCAGAGAGGAGAAGGGATGCTGAGAAAAGGGCCGGCAGGGCTTGAATTGTCCTTGCAGTGCTGTGGATCTGTCACTATCAAGCCAGGGCTTTGTGTAGGTCTGATAGGCTTGGAGCCGGGCCAGCTCCCAAAGGGGGATATCTAAGGGCAGTGCTGCTTTGAAAGGGCTGGGAGGTGAGAAAGACGAAGAACTTGCCAGGAAATTGAGCAGCCCTTTGATTTCTTCAGTGTTACAGTCGTGTAATTTTCTAAGGAAAATAACCTGACTCTGTTGATCAAGTAGATGGCACTGTGATATCAAAAGAGCTAATGAGGAAAGACAAGCAAGAGAGCGAGGCATAGGTAAAAGAACAGGAAGATGATTCTTCATTATTGGTGTGTTTCAATGTAAAATAAGAGGGCTGGAAATTACCAAGATTAAATATTTTCTGTGGAATTCTTTGAGAACCTTATGTCTGGCAATTCACAAATC